AGAGCTATGAATTTAAAACTCAATTTTCTGAGCAAGACAATCCAGAAACTACAGAAAACATTCAGTTCAGAGCTGTTGGAATGGATGAAGCAATAGATACTTAGGGTTTCCGAGGAAAACATGTCCCATGACTCTCCAATTGTCGCTTTTAAGCATGTGTTGCGGCTTGTGTGGGCAGCTGGAGCGGTCCAAAAAAGGCTTCTGAATACTCGGGATGCAGTACAACATTTCTAAACTACTCTTATATTAAAGTGGTGATCTAAACGCTCTTATATTAGTTTACAGAGGGAGTACTTGAAATGGCCAAAGAGCTTTCAATAAGCATTCAACTATATGTTGTCTACATGTTCAGCGAGAGCAGGACGGTATGAATGCCTCAAGTCTGCAATGTCAGAGGAGAGAGGGAATGCTTAGGAAGCTAAGTTTTACCGCCAGCAGCCATATTTTTGGGACTTGGATTTGAAAAGCAAAGCCTTTGATGGGTCAAAGTTTTACTTAGTGTTGCAATGATGAAATTTCTGCTGCATGTTTAAAACCGCATAGGTCTGAAACTGAGTTGAGAAACAGGACAGGACTGATGGTGTTAAATAGAAACGTGTTCTTTTGAAGCTCAAAGGAAGGGATCTCTTTGCTATTGATAACTGGAGGGTCCTGCTACTCCACTATAGGAAGTCAGTGAATTTTGGCAATGCAAGGCATTTGAACTATTGAAATCTAAAGAGGGGAGAGCAAAGCTTCTATCTGAAGTCTGAACTGAAGAGGTTCTGCGAGTAGCTTAGCATAGCTCAAAAGAAAATTAAGAGCATGCATGAATAACTGTGATGATATTGAATGGTCTATTAGTTTGTATGAAAATCAACATTATAATGTACACCCTCTGTTTCTAAATGTATAGGACGTTTTGACACTTCAATTTGAACTGCATAAAAGGTCTTATACATTTTAAAAACAGAGGTAGTATCTCAAAGCCAAATAACAACAAACAGCTGGAAACTGTGCAGGTTACGGAAACTGAATTAATCAACTACTTGGAGGATAATTCTAAGATTATGGAAACTGTATAGGTCACCGGTGCCGGCCATTCCTAAAAGATTAACAAGTTCGTGCGGTACACATATAAGTACACTAGCAAATAGTATATGTATACATATAGCTCACACATGCAAATGTTATCATAAGGTTTCTACAACAAGGGTCTTGTTCTAGAAGATTTCTCCAACGAAGGTCTTGTTTCATAAACAAAAAAAATTGGTTCGGTGGTGAAGTTTTTTTTTTTTTTGCAACATGGGTCTTGTTTCTGAAGATTTCTTCAATGGAGGTCTTGTTTCATAAACAAAAAATGGTTCAGTGGTGAAGCTTTTTTGCAACATGTGTCTTGTTTCAGAAACCAAAAAACGGTTCGGTGGTGATTTTTTTTGTAACAAGGGTCTTATTTCATATGGTTTTTGCAAAGGGGTCTTGTTTCAGAAAGAATAAACGGTTCGATGATGTTTTGCACAAGGCTTCTGTTGCAGCAGGATGAACGCAACAGTAGCCTTGTTGCATAAGCTGACGCTCATATCATATGGCGGTCCGTCAGACTGCTATTACGGGCTCCATCAAACGGACGGCGAGGCGATTGATCTTTTTGGATCATCACTTGGCCGACGCGTAGTGCTCCTCAAATTGTGAGTCGCCTATTCCCTCCCCTCCCCTCACCCCTTATCGACATTAATGATCCTTCACCATCCATTCGCTGTCACAACATCCTAGCAAGTACTCCCTCCGTCCGAAAAAGCTTGTCTCTCAAATGGATGTATCTAGCACCAAGTTAGTGCTAGATACATCCATTTGAGAGACAAGTTTGAGATAAGTTTTTTCGGACGGAGGGAGTATATCAAGCCTGTTAGTTTGTGGACTATAAAAGGAGCAAAAAATTGTCACACTAAAGGGTAAAATACAGAAAGAGAATACTATAGAAGCTACCATAAGATGGCAACTATATGATATGTATAAAAAAGAGGTAAAATGTACCTACTTTTATTTTCCTTTATTCTGTTCATGTTCATTTTTTAGATGAATTTTCCTTTCTTTATCGGACACATTGTTTTGGTTCATTATGTTCGTAAAATAAACCGTGTTCTACTCCCTCTGTTCTTAAAAATTTGTTTTTTAAAAGATTTTAAATGGACTATCACATATGGATGTATATAGACATATTTTAGAGTGTAGATTCACTTATTTTGCTCCGTATATAGTCACTTGTTGAAATAATCTCTAGAAAGACAAATATTTAGGAACGGAGAGAGTATAAGAATGGAATTGAGCAGCAAATTGTTTTGTTTTCACTTCTTGCAAAACGTATGAGCGAACCATCTGCCCGCCCGTCGCGTATGTTTCGCTTTAGAGTGATCAAAAGAATTGGGGATGGTCTATCGACTATAGTATTTGGATTGAAAAGTGACTATAGAGAGATTTATGTTTGTGATTAAAATCCGAGAGCCCACCTGGATTAGTCTGTGATTTAATTTGTTCTGCATCAAGGACATGTGATGTTCAAGCCTTGGAGATGCCTACGGATGTCGATGTTATCAGTCGGCCGATGCGCACCTACCTAGAGCATTTCCAGTCGCGCCCACAGAACGGCCTCTCCAGCCGTTTTTTTGCGTCGGCGCCGAAAAAACGGCCCAGTTGCGTCCACAGAAGCCCGTTTTTTATCGGCTTGGGCCGAAATGAGCGCCGGCGGAACCAGGCCGAACCCGACGCGCCGGGGGGCGTCTGGGGGCGCCGGGGCGAGCGTTTTGGCGCGAATAGCCGCGGGCCCGCCGAGTCAGCGAGACGGCCGCTTCGTCAACCTCATCGCCTCGATTCCCGCGGGAATCAATGCGAAGGCTGCCACGCTGCCGCGTCGGTCAGCCTCCATTGATGCCTCACGGGCGGCGCAGTGAAGGCGCTGCCGACGCGCACCCCGCCCGCATGCGCCACGCGTCCGCCCGCATGCCACCCCTCGCCACCCCGCTTCGACTATAAAAAGCGCCCCTCCCCGCTGGTGAGCGCCACAACCTCCCCCTTTCCCTCCCGTGAAACAGCCTTCTCCTCGCCGACGAGCTCCCTTACCACCCATGCCCGCCGACGAGTGAAGCCATGGCGGAGATATACCCTGGCGACGGCGCCGCGGTGAATGGCTTCGGCCACCGACACCTCCAGGAGCCGGAGGCGCGCCTCCTGTACGAGGCCGAGTACCCGGCGCCCCCTGATATGCGCGTGCCGGGCTCGTGGAGACTGAGCACCGGCGGTGTCCCGGTGTCGCCGGTGCCCGAAGGGGCGGCACGGCGGGCAGAGATCGCCCGCATCCGCTCCTCGCTGACGGAGGAGCAGCGGAACGAGCCGAGGTACGCGCCCGACAGCGAAACACTGTGGACGCTATACTTCGAGCGCCGCCGCGAGGAGCAAATCGCCTCCGTCAACGGCATCATCCCCTGCGGCCGCCTCAACTCTGAAGGACGGCGCGAGTGGTGGGGCGTCCTCGACCGCACACTCGACGTCGTCCTCGACCACATCAAGACCGGCAATGTGCCGCGGCTGGAGTACCCGACGCGGCCCTCCTTCTCTCGCCGCCGCGGCAGTTCCTGGATCCCGCGGCGAATGGAGCCAGGGTCGTCCTCATCGTCGGGCTCCGACTCGCCGGCCCTCCGCCCATCAAGCCCGAGCCGGAGGGGACACCACTCGGGTGTCGCATTCGCAGCGGCGCCCTCATCATCAACAAGCCCTCGCCGGCGACAGCACCGACGAGGCGCTCCCTCCGCCTGGTCCGGCCGAAGCCCAAGCCGGACATGCTCCTCGTGAAGCCGGAGCACGCCGTCATGGTGGCCCCTGACGACGAGTCCGCCCAGAAATGGGCGAAGGAGGACTACGTCCGCGAGCAGGTGCGCCGTTAGCGTCGGGCGTACCTGGAGACCCAGGCCCGTGGCCGCGCCGAGGAGGGCGGCGTTATCGTCATCGACTGCGATGATGATGGCGAGGCCGGGCCGTCAAGCGTTGTCGGTGCCCCTCGCGAGGGCTGCAGCAGGGCGCACGACGACGACGACGGTGGCGACTACACCCGCTTCTACAGGCTCCTCGGCATGTAGACGGCGGCGGCAGCGGCTAGGCTTTTTTAGTTCGTTTTTAAGTTATTAGGCGTAGTTCATGCATATTTCCAAGTTTTTGTATAAATTTGGACGAAATATGACCGAGTTCGTGCAAAAATCGCCGAGTTTGCAAAAAAACATCGCCGAATCCGCGGTGACCGTGGGCGCGTGGCTGGAAGCGAACCGAGCCTCAGGTGCCGATCTAGCGCTGGCTCGCCCTCAGGCCGTTCTTTTTCGACGCCTGGGAGGCCGAACGGCTGGAGACGCTCTTATCAGTCGGCTGAGTGTGAGCGTTCTTCAAAAATAAATGCGCGGCGGCCGAATTTCGCGTAAAAGCCCTAACAATTGGGCCAGCAGGACTTTTTTCAGCCCACCGCGCAGAATTTTCATGGGCCGCTCCGCCAGTTTGTAACCTAGCTCTCTCCTGCTCTGCTCGCCACTCTCGCACCGCCGCCGTCTCCAACGCCAAATCCCTCGCCTCCTTCCACGTCTCGCCGCCGCGTCGCCGTCGATCACTTCCCAGCGCCGCCTCGCCGCAGAGCACTTCCCAGCGCCGCCTCGCCGCAGATCACTGCCCTGCACAGCTCTCCCCTGCGCCGCCTCGCCGTCGACCACTCCCCTTGCGCCGCCTCGCCGTCGACCACTCCCCTTGCGCCGCCTCGCCGTCGACCACTCCCCTTGCGCCGCTTCGCCGTCGACCCCCACCCTGCGCCGCTCTCCCCAGCGCTGACTGGCCTGCCGAAACCCTCCCTCGTGCGGCCGTTCCCCCAAGCCGCCTCTTCCCCCGCCCATTCAACGCCACCCTCCCCTGTCGCCGGCTCGCCGCTCGCCCAGCGACCCCTGCTGCCCCACATCGTCAAAGTGCTGCTAGCCCACAAGATCGCAGGAACCATGTCGTTCGCCGGCGTATCCGTCATTGCTGGCAGTGGCGGCAGGCTGCCGCGGCTGTCGGCGGAATCGGACATGATCTACTCCGGCTCCAGCGCAGCCAGCAGAGGCAGCTGCTACTATCACCTGCTTGTGGTGGAAGGTTACTCCCGCATCAAAGACCTGCCCAATGGAGGGACAATCATGGGTCGCACATTCAAAGCTGGAGGCTATCAATGGGTTCTGAGGTTCCATCCCAATGGTTATGCCCCGGAGGATGTCGGTTCCATCTCGGTTTATCTTGTGCTTGACCAGGATGTTGCACGGCCCGTGAAGGTGCATCTCCAGTTTAGTTTGGTTGATGAGGTTAGCAAGCAAGATCAAGCATTCATCCGTGCAATCAAAGCGTGCGACTTCTCTGGCAGTGGCTCTACTTGGGGCCGCAGTTGTTTCATAAAAGGAGAGGACCTTGAGAAGTCAGATCATCTCAAGGATGATTGTTTCACCATCCGGTGTGATTTCATCATCGCCGAAGCTGCTGCTGCTGCTCCCTTGGTAAAGGTGCCGTCATCTAACATAAGCGAGCATCTGAGCCATCTCTTAGTGACGGAGGTGGGCGCCGATGTGACGTTCGAGGTCGGCCATGAGATGTTCGCCGCCCACCGGTGTGTGCTCGCGTCCCGTTCCGCCGTATTCATGGCACAGCTCTTTGGCCCCATGAAGGAGGGGACCACGGCGGCCGCCATACAAATACAAGACATGGAACCGGACATCTTCAAGGCACTGCTTGGTTTCATCTACACTGACTTGATGCCAGAGATGGAGGCGGAAAGAGAAGCAGAAGTAGAAGAAGGTGGAGCTGATGAGGTTACGTGGCTGCGCCACTTGCTTGCCGCGGCGGATAGGTTTGATCTCCAGAGGCTCAAGTCGATGTGTGAAGAGAGGTTGTTGGAGCACATAGATTTGAGCTCGGTGTCGGCCATCCTTGCTGTGGCAGCGCAGCTCCAATGCTGTGGACTTAAGGAGGCGTGCCTGGAGTTCCTCAAGGTTCAGTCAGCTGCAGACTTGGGACAAGTAATGGCGACCAGTGACTGGGAGCACATAGGTGCAACCGATCACTCCGTTCTGAACCAGCTCATTGCCAAGCTTGCTTCCAAAGTTTAGTTCGTAACAGTGTCCTCATGGGGCTTCTGGTACGCATAAGAGGATCAAACATATGTGCGCAAGGCATGGATGGTTTATAGATTCAGTTAAGCAAACATCAATGTTGATCTATTGTCATGCATTCCTTTCATGCAGTGTGAATCTGAGTACATACTCCGTACCTTGGCTTCAGCAATCTCCATGTTGATTGATAATGCGATCCTGAAAATGGCCAGGCCTGGTGAAAATGCAACAGTGTGAACGTGTATCTGTCTATCTAGCTATGTGATCCTGAAAGCTGTCCAATCTTCAGCTTGAATTAACGAATCGGAGGGAACTGTACAGATCGTCGGTGCCATTCCTCCAAGCTCCCTCCCGTCGGCATACTATTGTTATGGCATGACGGCCACCCCCTTGGGTCGTTGGTGGGGTATGACGGCTTCTCCATTGTCGTTGAACATGTTGATTGCTTGTTGGTGGCCGCCTCTTGCCGCACGAGTGGTTCCACCTGTCCTGCAGGAGGTAGATGAGCACCATGGTGGAGACCTTGGAGATGAGGAGCACCGTCTAGAACCTGATTCTCCTGCGGGTCCTCTCCCGGGTGTGTGGAGGTCGATGTAGACGGCGGCCACTCCCACCACACACACCACCACTCCCATCAGCCAGTGCGTCAGGTACCACACGCTCTGCGCCTTTACGCCCATGGATATATATGCCAACAAACATCAGAGGAACACAAATTCTGATAGAAACATCAAACTTGTTAATCTTGTTCGTGTATTTGCTTGTGTACTACATGCAGGGTTTATCTCATGTAGTTGCATTTTAACGACCTTTATATCTCCACAATATTCCTAAAATCAATGAAGAAAATGTTAGTTGCCTATTCACTCCCCTCGACTCACCCCCTTGGTCGACATCAATGATCTTTCACATCCATCGGTTGTCACATCCTCCTAGTCTTAGCAATTAGATCTAGCTTGTTAGTTTTGGGACTATAAAAAGAGCAAAAAAATTGTCACGACATCGTAACTAATGGGTAAAGTATGGGAAAAAATAATACTATAAAAGCTATCACAAGATGACAACTGTGAGGTATAAAAAGAAGTATAATTTATATACTTTTACTTTCTTTTGCTCATGTTAGTTATTTTGAAATGCACTTTCCTTTATTGTTCACATTGTTTTGGTTCATTATGTCACTAGAATAAATTGTTAAACCATTTTTTTCTAATGTTGTTATTATTTTCTATGACAATGGACTCGAGCCACAAATTGTTTTGTGATCACTTTTTGTACCACAAATATCTGTTTTCTACTAATTTATGTATCAGATAGAAGATCAATTTATGCATGTAATACCGTTTCTGAAGCCTAGAGTTTTATTTATTTTTCATGTATTCACACATTTTCCTAGTTTAATTTTAAATTGTCCCATAATTTAGGATCTGATAACACTAAATCCTATAGATAACCGTTCAATATAATCCAGTCGGCCCAGAGTAGGTGACCACACTCTCTTTGAGCCCGCTTGCAAAAGCCCAGCAAAGAAAGCAATGTAAGTCAATTTGTTAGTAGCAGGTGTCACACTGGCGATTTCCACTGAAAACACTTCAACAATTAAACACCAGGTGAAATAGTTCTCCTTAGACTTTTGGATGCCGCTTCGACCCCTAGAATTTAATTAGGAAGCAAGCAAACCGCCGGGCCGGCCACTGCCTATGTTTCGGATTGGACTGATGAAAAGAACCGGGTATGGTCTGTCGACTATTATTTGGAACAAGAACTCGCCCAGGAGATTTTAGTTTGAGATCAATCTGTGCCAAATCTAAGAACCCACATGCATTAGCCTGAATTTAATTAGGAAGCAAGCAAACCGTTGTGCCGGCCATTACCTATGTTTTGGGTTGGACTGATGAAAAGAATCGGGGATGGTCTGTCGACTAGTATTTGGAACAAGAACTGGCCCGGGAGATTTTAGTTGACTTTGTTAGTTGACAAGCAAACCGTCGGGCCGGGAACAATGTCATGAGGATGGTCTGTCTAATCTGCCGGATCATCTGTGTCTCCATGACATCGTTAGTTGAACGGGAAATCCTAGTAGCAGTGACCACATTTTTTGGGAACGCACACATAATATACTCCAGTTTACGTCGTTCATGGCCTGGCAGTAGTAGACACTGAAATACACTGTTTTAATTAGAATAAGTAGAAACATACTAGGCATGACAGAGGTGAATTATTGTGCTGGATCAGCCTCAGCCTGCCTTGATCTCGTTTTTGAAGCCGCAGAAACTGAAGCAGCATACCCCTCCAGAATACTTGTCCTCCAACTGATGCATCGGCCTTAACCTGTCGTGGCCAGTTGACCCTTCCCATTCTCCTGCCTCTGCTACAGTCCCATAATTTTCCCCTTCGTGACAACGACTATGGGGGTGTAAGTGGAATGGCCACCAGATCTCTGCTGCTCCTTTTCGTCCAGAAACTGCTTAGGTTCCTCGACGAGGCAGGCAAAAGTATTGACAGGATCGATGCCTTGTGCCTCATGCGTTCGTTTTGGCACAAACTGATGAGCCAGATGTGGATACGCACTGATCAGCGTATAGCGTATGGTCACACAGAGAGACAAGTAGTGTGGCCGAGAGCTCACTTTCCTGTACACAGATCACTCTTGAACATCTCGCGGATCAGGACCTTCTAAATCTGCATTTATTTCCCTCAAGATCTGCAACATATATCAAGAGGAGTTGATGTTATACATTTCAGTTTGGCAATAATGGCAGCAGTTTACATAATCAAATATTTTCAGTCTAGTCTAGTGGAGTCTGGACAGTTGAGTTGAGTTGACGTCTAATGACACCTTTAGCATCACAACTGTAGGGCTTCCAGCAGTTTCTTGAGACATTCAGCATTCTCGGTGCATTGGATACATAGGTCCTTGAGGTTTTCACATGCCATTGTCACCATGGAACTGTTTTTCCTGTTGTCGACAATCATGCCTGCCAGGGCTGCTATGAAAGCTCCTTTAGTTTTAGTGGGAAGAGCTGAAGAAGTATATACAAGAGTTTCCTTGGCTAGTCTTGGCAGCTGTCCATAACAGCATTTGTCACACTTGATAGCAGTTTCTGTATAGTCCAGCATTTCATTCAGAAAGACATCATAGATCCTGTTCATTATATATACATCACACAAACAGCGTTACAAAGGGATAACAAGTGCATTTACTAAACAAACCTTCATATCCAGACGCATCTTAGAAAGATGGAGCCACAAAAAGAAAGAAATTATGCATCACAAATATATGACTTGATGATTAGGAGGACTGACCCAGCTGTCTGAAGGAGGGTAATGATTGTTAGACACCCAATGTCCTTGTTAGCCAGCATGGAGACGAAACCTCCAAGGAGAACAGCAGAACGACAGTGGTCTAGGTAATAGCCAGGAAACCTAGGCCCCTGATGGCCATGGAAAGGTATCCCATGAATAGGGCATAGCTGTTAACACGCACTACTTCCTACCACTTGAAGTCATGTGATGGATCTGCCATTCCCCTGAAGAATCTGAGGTCAATCGTTGAATGTGATAATTTTCAGTGATAAATTTAGATGGAGTTCACCCCAAACTAATCATCTTCTTTTGTATAGTAGTATATAAAATTTAAGAAAAAGGAGTTTGTGTTCGTCCTCATGTGCTGGCTGGTGGGCCTTGCCTGAAGTTGATTTTATTATACAGATTCCGATCCATGTGGTGAATTACATGTTATTCGGACACCTGGCTAGGTGGATTACATGATTGGTGTGCTTGTCAGGTGGTGGCTGCAAGCAATGTGGCAGGCGCCAAACCGGGGATGGGGTGGAGTTCGCTGACAGAGCAGAAGTAGCAGAGTGATTTGTGCTTCGTGTGCGTCTGGAGCCAACTCTGGTATGAGATGAGTTCTCTAAGACTGCAACATCTTGGTTTGGATAGCTACTTTCCCAAATTGTGATGAAGATGCACACATATATTTTGAGAGTAAAGTCCATCTATTAGATGATCTCACTGTTAGTTAATTCTGTTATGCACTGTTAGCTAAAATGATTATTTTGAGTGATTTGTGCTTCCTGTCTGTCTGGAGCTAATTCCTGCTATATTCTGCAAATATTATGCATGACATCTGATAATGCAGTCGGAAGGGATATGAGTGTCTGCTGAACTGAAATGAAGTCTCTTACTCGACAAATTATAATGCTAGACTTGGAAAATAATGTCTTGATGAAAGGCTGGGGAGTATAGCTGAGAAGCAAGCTACTAAACATGGTAAGCTAATCTCCTAAAATGTGGAAGTTTGGTGCTTTAGAGATAGGGCCGGCACGCTTTGCTGAAAGCGAAGCAGAATTTAAAACAAATAAGGTACACCCTCTTGAATTTTTTGTTTTGTTTTAGAGTTCTGCCTTCCATTAAATAATCATTTTGGCAATTGTGTTAAGTTTCATCGAGATATTAGTCAAGTGTAACTGTTCAGTTAAACTTTACTAACACTCTTTTGATCTTTTGTTGAAACCAAATTTGGGCATTGTACCTTTTGTAACATTAACAAGGAATGGAACATGCATTTCTCAAGTAAGTTTCAGGTAACCAAGCTGATCAAATTTACTAGCACACATTCCTTCTATGACTTCATCTTCGATAACGTAACGAATTTCATATTTGTTTTTGGAGACTGAGATATCTAAATGGAAGAATTATCTAACTAATGGAAGGCTTGCTTAAGTCTCCCGTTATCTATTTGGTAACGAGGATTGGCAATTTGTGTCCAGCTATTTATAATCCTTTTTGGCCGTGTCCCACACACATCATCCCTGAATTTTCAGTAGCTTTTATGAACAAGAAGCTGCGCTATTAAGACAGAGGTCAGTTGGTTGCAATATCATTTTGATTTATTTGACAGTTTTACATCAGAGTGCGTTACCGACTGAAACTGAGTCATGTTCATAGCTTTGCCAAGCATACAGCTGGACAGAGCTGTCATCTAGTTAGCCCAC